CCTCACTAAAATGAAGACTGCACCTCTTGTCTGGTCTTGAAAAGCAGGTCAGTCAAATGTCTGCTAAGAATGGCTCAGGTGTACTTTCTCCTGCCTTGGACTGGAAGAATGGCCTTCCACAAGCAATTGCAACCCACTTTTCTAAAATTTCTAGGAAATTATACCACCTGATGGTTAGATTATTAGATGGATGACAACTACAGCTACTAGCTAGTAGCCAAAATTAAAACAAATATTAATTACTCAGATTTTTCTGTAGCTGTTAAACCTTTCTAACTTTACTTAGGCGTCACTTCCAAGAGGAAGAGGCTGGGGGAAAGAGAATGGTTTCCTGCTGGAAAGAGAATGCTTTTCAGCTTACAGATTAGAGGACATACTTTCCATCCCATTTTACCTGTCACTTCTCTCAAGTGTTGACACAGACAAAAAAGAAGTCTAGATCATAAAAGGCAGTTGTAAGCCTCTTGGGCAGCCAAGTCCAATGTCAATCTTGTGAACTCCCACCCTAAGCTGCTGTTTGTCTCTGGCTAAATATGCCCTGTAGCTCTGTTTCCATGGTAAAAATTCCATATCATCAGATGCTGGCCATAGATGTAATAAGTCAAATCCAAATGTTTTTGTCTGAGCACAAAAAAAAAATCTCTGGTGAATTTCCCAGAGACACTTTCCCACCTCTTTCACTTTTTAAAGGCAAAACTTAAAATTAAGTCTACTTCTTGCCTCCTGTCATACTTTGCTTCTGAATACCTATTGGCATCCTTGTCTAGGTGACAAGGGATTCTCAAGCCAGTTTTACCTCAGGGTGCAGTCACAACAAGAGGGACTGTGAAAAACTGACTTAAAAATAATCATTACCTTGCAAGCTGGATTGCCATTTGGTGTGGTAAGAGAAGGATGGAATAGAGACAGTTGCACCCACAAATTATCTAGTTGTCACTTTCTGTTCCCAAATCTTGTTCTTTTTCCAGTAGATAGCTTTATTTTGGGGAGTCAGGCTTATATCTTATCTCAAAATTTAGTACTTTGGCTTCTTCTCCAATCAGCAGAGATCAGTTTGATGCAGTCAAGCGAGCCTGGAGGAGGAATCAGATGCCCTACCAGCACAGATGAGCTTCAGCACTTTAATGTTGGCTCCTCCTGCCATTTGATACTCCAGGGCAGATGAGACATCTGCACAAGGCTGGTAGATGTGATGTAAGATGGAGAAAGCCCACATTCTTTTTGGTGAAGCAACTGGATGCCAACTGGGATACTCCACAACACCTAAAATAGCATTAGACACTTACTTTTAGGCTACTGAATCCTGGTTTTAGAGAGTTTAATTATTTCTAGATTCATCAGTTATACAGAATAGATCTCAATGGACTGGAGTGAACTGAACTCTTACATTGATGCCTGAGTTTAGATGTTCTGACCTGGTATTGAATCCCTTCTGCCAGCAGGATTAAGTGGCCTAAGTATGGTGTTTAGAACAAGTTAGTCTTTCATTAGTGAATTTGCAGACGACACTAAGCTGGGAGCCGATCTGTTGGAAGGCAGGAGGGCTCTGTAGAGAGACCTGGAATGGTTGGATGAATAGGCAGAGTTCAGTAGGATGAAGTTAATAAGTCCAAGGGCCAAGTCCTGCATTTTGGCCACAATAACCCCCTGCAGGATTACAAGCTGGGGACGGTGTGGCTGGACAGTGCCCAAGCAGAAAGGGGCCTGGGGGTGCTGATGACAGCGGCTGAACACGAGCCAGCAGTGTGCCCTGGGGGCCAAGGAAGCCAATGGCTCCTGGCCTGTGTCAGGAGCAGTGTGGCCAGCAGGAGCAGGGAGGTCATTCCTCCCCTGCCCTCGGCACTGGTGAGGCCACACCTCGAGTGCTGTGCCCAGTTCTTGGCCCTCAGTTTGGGAAGGACCTTGAGACACTTGAGCACATCCAGAGGAGGCAACGAGGCTGGTGAGGGGTTTGGAACACAAACCCTGTGAGGAGCGACTGAGGGAGCTGGGGGTGTTCAGCCTGGGGAAAAGGAGACTCAGGGGTGACCTTATCACCTCTACAACTCCCTGGAAGGTGGCTGCAGCCAGGTGGGGTTGGTCTCTTTCACCAGGCAGCAGCTGACAGAACCAGAGGACACAGTCTTAAGCTGCACCAAGAGAAATACAGGTTGGATATTAGGAAAAAGTTTTTTACGGAAAGAGTGATAAAGTACTGGAATGGTCTGCCTGGGGAGGTGGTGGAGTCACCATCCCTGGATGTGTCCGAAAAAAGACTGGATGTGGCACTCGGTGCCATGGTTTATTTGAGGTGTTAGGGCTGGGTTGGACTCGATCTTGAAGGCCACTTCCAACCTAGAGCTTCTGTGATTCTGTGAAATGAAACCTCCCTGCCAAGGTGATGAAAGGTTTCCATTGTCAGTTTGACACAACCACATGAGTGATACAGGAGAGCAAAGATTACACCCAAACTTAAAAGGGTTTGGGCAAACTTGTTATTTGAGAGCACATTTCTGTGCTCTCACGTTGTCCCCAGTCCCTGCATGACATTGCAGAATCTGGTCAGTGAGGACTGAAAACCCCATCACAGGTGCCTTTGCAATAGATACCTCTGCAAGTGCACGGCAGGAGAACCAACAGCTGGGAGAGAACCATATCCATCGGCAATGAGCAGGCACCTCAGGCTGCTCACTGTCTCCTAAACACATGCATGGAGAAGCCACTTCATCAGTGGAGGAGCTTTACTGTCTAGCTTACATGGCACTACCACTAGCAATATTCTTTAGAAGAGCTGCATTGCAGAAGTGATAATTAAAACTAAAGTATACTATAATTCTTCTAACTGAATTTAATAACTCATGCATGGAGAACTGCCTAGGAAAGCATTTACTGCATAACATCCATAATAACTATTTACATTTGAAACAGCTGGAGAGAATTCTTTGCAATCTTAGCAGTACATTTCAGTGTTTGACCAGAAAGAGAAACAACATAAAAATATCCACACAAAAGCACAGTTGTTGTGAGTAATAATACATGAGTAATAACTTCCCCAAAGAGAGGCTTCGCACAGAGCAGTGACACCAGAGCAGGTCACAAACACTCAGACAGGTGTGAGCATCACTCCCTCCCACCCAAGGACACAGGAGCAGAAAGGCAGAGCACCTGCCAGTGACAGCAAGCATGCAGGCAGGAAGGCTGGAGCTCTGGGATGGAGGAGAGGATGAGCAAAGGACACAAAATTGGAAACACCAGATGTAGCTGTCCAGGATTGCTACTGCTCTAACACTGGATTAGGCTGTGCTATGTGACACAGTATTGTTACTCATGGCATACATTTCACTTGATTATAATTTCCTGCACTGCACAGCTAGCCCTCCTCTGAGCATCTGTCTGTGCTGCAGTGCTGCAATTGCAGACCTTAAAGAGCTTTTAAAACAATTGTGGTTTTGGCTATTTGGCATGAAAATTGAGGCCTGGAACCATGTCCTGGGAGGGGAGGGGTCCAACAAAGTATTTGTGGGGCCCATCACTGGTGTGAAATGCATAAACTAACCCCTCATCTTTTTGGTGGTGCTGGCAGGGAATCATTTTAACCTTGATGTAATAGCTATCCCAAAATATCTGTTCTGAATAGCCTTACAAAGGCTGCAAAGGCTGCCAGGCAAATCTTTCATAGCTTCAAGTATTACTGGTACTTGCTAGATAACGTAATTCTGCTTTTTCTGTGCCATTCCTAACATACTACAGGCAAGCAGCATGACTGCAGAGGCAGGGGCACAACAAAAGGTTTGCCAAGGCTGACTTCTTCCTTGGCACCAAGTTCTGGGCCTTCTGGCCTCTCACCTTCACAAAACACACTGATAAAGTAGGTGAAGCTGAGGAAATAAGCTAAGATTCAGCTGTCCCTCTGATAAAATAAAAAAAGCCAAGTCTCTCCTTTCAAACAGTCAGACTTTGATTATGTCTCTAATTTGTGCTTCTGTGCTTTAGTGAGCTAGGAAGGACCTAATTTGTGCTTTAGTGAGCTAGGAAGGACTTAATGATCACTTCTGGCTGAAGATGTTTGTTAAACATCCATATTGCAATCCTTTTAAACTTCTACACAACTAAATCAGCATCCTATTCCTACCTATGAGATGGAGAGCACACACAGAGCAGGATACAACTGATAAAGCTACACTGAATTTATAGCCCATTTATAGCTTCAGCCAGCAGTTAAAAAGATGTGATGATAGACATTGGAGCTCATTTGATTTTTTAAAAATAAATATTATTAGTGACTCAGGATTAAATTCTGCAGTTCTTGCTTGGACAAATCTGCTGAGCTTTCAGATGAGGCACACCACAGCACACAGATGTTGATTAAATCCGAGTGAAACCGGAGGTCTCAAAACGATCCCTTTTGCACCCAGACTAATTCTATACATGGAAGAAAGGAGAGGCAAGAAAAAAACTTCTAAAAAGGCATGATTCCAAATATACAGGCGCCCTCTTAAAGATAAACTCGATAAAAATATGAAATGTATTTTTTGCAGTCCAATGCAAAAAAGCCCACTCTCTCCAGTGACATAGAAATTTACCTTATGGTAACCATCTGACATTTCCACTATGGTTTCAATAATGTCAGCATGAGTCTGAGGACTAATTCAGGCACAGAGCTGCTTTGATTGATTTGCATTAAATTTTTTGATTTGCGCACACAATAGTTAAGGAAACACTCTGTATTTATATTGTGCATCTGTATAGTGAAGCTCATACAAGTCCAGGTTAGTTAAAAATCACAGGGATTAATGGTGGAGGTTGGCAGTGCTGGGTTAACAGTTGGACTCAATCTTAGAGGACCTTTCCAGCCTTAATGATTCCAGGATTCTAAGTCAATAGAGATCCTTCCATTTAATTTTTTTAAATACTTCTTGTATTAGGCTGCAAAGTCTGATTTCTGAATACTTATTCCTGTTACAAAACAAATTGCTTCATTATAATATTGCTTGGGCTACTCATTAGTCATTCGTTTGAAATTACTTTAAATACACTTTTATTTTCCTTCTAGAGAAACATCACATTTTCACAAGTGGAAGAGAAGCAAGGAGTTTCTTCAGTGGGATACAATTAGTCAGAACCTGCGTTCTTGTAATTCCTTTTAACCAACCCTCACCTTGACAAAATCCCCATTGGCTTCAGTAGCTTTACCTGAACAAGAACTTGAAGAATTTATTGCTTAGCAAATATTGTTACAACAGGGGATAGTTATATATCCTACAACAAAACCCCAAAAGAACAATAACAACAACAAAACAACAACTACAACAAAACCAGAAAAAAACCCCAAAATTCAACAAAACAAAAAATCAAACAGCCCAACAAAAACAAAAAAAGTAAGCCAAAGTCTGTAGCCCTGAGAGTGTTCATCCTTGACACAACCAGCTTCAGCTGGTTCCTCATTTGTGTCTATAGTTACCAGCCCCAAACAGATTGAGTGAGGGCAGCCCCTGCTGTTAAACTTCCACTTCAGCATATTAGGACGATCGCAATCTTAGCTCTATAAAAAGCCACATGGAATTAGTTCAAGATCTTTGCTTGCCATTAGGAAAAAATAGCAGATGGCATTGAGTCCTTCTCCAAACAACTGGCAGAGAAATGGTAGAGGGACCACAGGAGGTAAGACAACACCCCATGGCAAGGCAGGGGGCTCCTCCGTGAAGAGCTTTGAGAGAGTTCAGATGAAAGTTCAGCTTTAGTGACTTCTCTCTGCAGGGAGCAGAGAGCTCTCCAAACAGGTGGAATGAATAAGCAGATGAGAAAGAGGTGGCACCAAAGAGAAAAATCTGTCCCTATTTAAAACAGAGAAGAACTGAGATTAATGATGAAATTCAAACTAAAACAATAAGGCAAAGAACTTCAGATGTTGAAAAATTAACTACAGAAGGCTTGAACATATCCTCAAAACTCATTGCTGAGGGAAGCAGAAGTGTGTGACTTTATAATTAAACAGGAATTAATCAGTGTCAAAAAAAAAATAAAGAAATCCATCGATGAGTTATATTGCCTCTGCTGTCAAGATATGAAAATGAGGGCAAAGGATCTGATTTTCCCATGATTTCATGTAGCCAAAGGCACTTTCCACATCCAGTAGTGCCAGAGGTTGTGCCTCTGTTCCTTCCCTGCCTTCTCTTTGCAGTTGTACCTCTCTAGCCAATCTCTTCATGCAAGTGCATGGCATCTAAATGGTCTTTACCATGACAAGAGACACTTAGAGAAGCTGGGCAAAAAACTCAACAAGAAAATTACTAGTTAAAAAAACCCCAAACAACCTGTTAATTCTGGTATTACAGTGTGTGCTTAAATAATACTCTATGACTCTTCACATAAGAAAAGTAAAGGAAGGTCCTACTCAGCCCACAAAAAAATTTTGACTCACCTGTCCCCTTGTTTTTCTTGCAAGACAGGAGGACTTCTTGGTTCAACAGACAACATAGATGGACACAGAAGGTACAGAACACACCTATCATCACGTGAATGAGGCTCTTGAGGTTAATCCAGAGCAGCCTAAATTACAGAGGAAGGTTAGATTATGGAAATAAACATAGATTTGAGAGTCCCATTCCTCACCATCTTGGCTTTTGTGATAGGTCCAAGATATGCAACACTGGTTTCCCCAACAGCTTTGATAATGAGCTGTAGTGCTTGCACTGCCAGGGAAGGACAGAGCAGGCATTAAATGAACTATACACAGCTGACAGCAGCCAGGAACTGATGACAAGGTGGGTGCCCCTCTTCTCAGCATAAATCTTGGAGCATTTCTTCACTCCTTCATGCTCCTGAACATAAAGATCCCCCACATGTCAGCACAATTTAAAATTATTACTTGGAATCTCAGAGTGGCTTGGGTTAGAAGGGACACAAAGAGCATCTAGTTCCAACCCCACAGCTTTCACTAGACCACATTGCTCAGAGCCCCATCCAACCTGGCCTTGAACACCTCCAGCAGTGGGGCATCCAGAATTTCTCTGGGCAATTTTTTCCAGGTTTCTTATCTAGCAACACTGAGCTTTGCTCCTTTCTTTGAGATGTGTGCCATCTCATTGTATGTGCAAATAAGGTTAAGCCTGATTAACATGAAACATTGAATCAACTGAAGAAAAAAATAAATTTTTTTCAAGCACTGAAACAGGCTGCTCAGTGAAGTGGTTGAGTCACCATCCCTGAGCCAGGCAAGCAGAAGAAGACATCTACCAAGGAGAATGTATGTATTTGTTATTCTAAAAATAATGAAAACAGTGGGTTTGGTTTGAGGTTGTCGTGGTTTGACCAGGAAGGAGTGGGAATTCTGGGAAGCTGTGGTCAAACCAATGAAGGTTTCGGGTTTGAGACTGGCGTCCGGTGTGGCCAGTGGGGTTTGGACACACCTCCGAGAATACACAGGGGTTAAAAGCAAGGCACTGCCCTTGGCACTTCCTCTTT